CAGGGACAGTGGGTTCTGGGCACAGTCAAGGCAGAGGCCTGTCGGCCGTGCAGACCAAGCCGCAGCCACCACAGGCAGGGCCGAGCGGGGTCCCCGAGCGGGAGACCGCACCCCTTCCCCGGACGCCACGCCTGCCCCAGGGAGGCTCGGGGCCGCAGGCTCAACCGCTCCCCGAGCCCGCCCTCGCCTCCTGGAGAGTGCTCTGTGATGCCCCCCAAGTCTCCTTGTGCCTGTTGTCTTTCAGGCGGCCTCCAAGCCCCATGGACGGCGTCTGCCCGCCCTCTCCCACATGGCCCCAGCGTGGAGCCCGGGGCGCTCAGCCCCAGCGGGGTCGTGGGTGTTCCATCGGCGCAGAGGCTGGCAGGTGTCGTGACGATGCCTGGAGCGAGCTGGGGGGCTCCGGAGCCAGCGGCAGCCCCAGGCCCCGACACCCGCCTCTGTGATACCACCACGAAGGCCGCGGCTGCCCTTGGAAGCCTGGCCGCAGAGACGCCTGCAGAGGCCACCTCTGTCACCTGCACGTGACAGTCCTGGGCGGCCCCAAAGCACACGCGGGAGAAACACTAGCCACGGAACCCAGGGCCGGAGGGTGGGAGACCTAACAGCAGAGGACAGGGAAAATCCTGCTCCTCAAAGCCCTTTCTGGAACAGCGGGATCCTCACGGCCTCACGAGCTCACTGTCGCTCATCCGGCACTTGGCATCGTGGGGCAGGGCTTGTAGTGACTCTACCCCCCAGTTTATTATGAGGGGGTGGGGGGGCTTCTCTCGCTGCTTCTGCTGCACAGGGACAAGGGTCGCCTGTCCCAGGCCCGGCAGCTGCCCGGGAGGGGTGGAGCTGAGTCCCTGCCCACGGCGCCCCTGGTGTGCACTGGGCCGCCTGAGCAGAAGTGTCCCGGGAGCACCCGGCCTCTGCTGCGGCCCCGCGCGCCCGGGACATGGGCGGCAAGAGCTCTGGGAGGCCGGGCGTGGCGCCGCGTGTCCTGGGAGGGGGGAGCAACCAGAAGCCTCCTGAAACAGTCTGGCGGGCAAGCCCCAAGCCACAGACACAAGCCTTCACAACCACCCTCACGTACAGCAGAGCCCGGCAGGCAAGGCAGGAGCGCGCCGCCCCCCTCCCGGGGGAGACCCGACTTCCTTCCGTAACTGCAAATACAGCTGACGGGCCCGTGTAGAGCACAGCCTGGAACAACGCGGCTGCCGGAGGCCCCGGGTGAGTGAAAGCCTCACGCACGCAGCGATGAAACGGAACAAGCATTTTTCTTTCCTACCCCCGCCCTCTCGACGCTGCTCGCGCCGGTTCCAGCAGCAGCGGCCTCTGCCCCGCTCGTCAGAAGCTGTGCTGGGTCCCGGGCCCAGTGTCCCGGCAGCGCTGGGCTGAGCCCCGTCCCCGGAGGACACCCTCTGACACGCTCGCTACGCAGACCTCTCCCGTCAGGCCAGCTCTGACGGAACTTGCGTTGACAGTCAGGTTGACAGTCAGGTTACGTCATTTAAAAACATTTTCCCATCATTGTTTAAACGAGCAGGTTAACTGACATAAAATTTACATAGCAGAGAGTTCATTGTTAAAGTGCAGGATCTCAGTAGCTGTGAATGCAGTAAGGGAGCTGTGCATCCATCATCGTTATCAACATGGTTTCATCCCCCAAGGAAAGCTCATAAAAATGTGTCAACCTAAGTCCAGCAATTAAAAGCGAAGCCTCGTTCTGGTAGGGATGTGGGCGGTGGGGGCCGTGATGTGGAGGAGGCGCAGATGGGAAATCTCTGTGCCGGTCTCTCATTTTTGCTGTGAATCTAAACTTTCATAAAAGAAAATGTCTAAAAGGAAAAGGAAAAAGAAAGGAATTTCACGTACACCAGCTGTCCCCTCCTACTTCCCCGCCTCCAGCCCCTGGCAATCTAGTTTATTTGCTTATTCTAGGCTCTCGGGTGTGTGGCCTTTGGCGTCTGATTTCTTTCATTTAGCAAATTTTCTCGACGCTGTAGTACGAACAGCACGTCGTTCCTTTTCAGAGCTGAGTAGTACTCCGCGGCATGGCCAGGGCACATTCGCTTCTCTGCTTACCAGGTTAGGTCACGTGGGTTGGTCATACTCTCTGGTCACTATCAGGAACGCTACGTGGAGACCCATGGATGGTGTCTGTGTGAACACATCCTAGACCCACATGTAGGAGAGGAATTACCTGGTCATATGGTAATTCCCTGTTTAACTTTTTGGGGAGCTGTTAAGCTTTTTTCAATGCAGGTTACACAATTTGACATCCCTTGTAATAACGGATGAAGGTCCCAGTTTTTCTACATTTTCACCAATTCCTTTTTTTTTTTTTAATAGCTATCCTGATGGGTGTGAAGTAGGATCTCACTGTGGTTTCCACTTGCATTTTCCTGATGACTAACGAGGTTGATAAGCACTTTCCTTACGCTGGCTGGTCATGTGTGTTTCTTTGGAGAAATGTGGGTCAATTCCTTTGCCCATTTTTAAACTGAATTATTTAACACTTTGTTTTGAGTTGGTAACCGTTCTTTACAGAACCTGGTACTAGAGCTTTGATGAGAACCTGCTTTGCAAACATTTCCTCCTGTTCCATAGGTTGTCTTTTCACCTTCTTGACAGTCAGCATCATTTGATGCATCAATTAGATGAAGCTGCTGTCATTTTTCCTTGGCTGCTTGTGCCTTTGGTATCGTGTCTAAGTAACCACTGCCTAATCCAGGGTCATGAAGATCTGCCCTTGCGTTTTCTTCAAGAATTTTATAATATTAACTCATTAAATTTAGGTTGTTGATTCACATTGAATTAGTTTTTGTATATGGTGTGAGTTAGGGGTCCCAAGTGTGCGTGCGTGTGTGTGTGTGTGTGTGTGTGTGTGTGTGTGTGTGTACTGTTTGCTGAAAGTTCTGCTCTCCCATTGAGCAGTCTTGGAATCCATATCAAAGTTCAATTCACCATAGACGTGTGGTTCTGCATCTGACCCCTGATTCTGTTCCACTGAGCTACACGTCGGTATTTATGCTGGTAGCACATGTTCTTATTACTATAGCTTTAGATTATGTTGTAAATTGGGACACATAAGTCCTTGAAATTTCCCTTTGCAAGATTTTGGCTGTTTTGAGTTCCTTGTGAATGTCAGAATCACCTTGCTAATTTCTGCAATAACAGTGATCATGTTTTCATAGACGCTGGGTTGAATCTGTAAAGTGATCTGGGGGTACTGCCATGGTAATATCTCATCCCAGTCCACAAACACTGACTATTCTATTTACTTAGGTCTTTAATTACTTCAATTATATTTTTTATGGCTGTCAGTGTACAAGTCTTATGTTTCTCTTGCTGAATTTATTCCTAAGTATTCTATTCTTTATAGTTTGAGTGGAATATTTTCTATTTTAAGTGGAATCATTTTCTTACTTTAAAATTTGAATGATTAATTTTTGTGTATAAATGTACAGATGATTTTTGGATAGTGAGCTTACACCCTCCAACATTGCTGGACACATTTATTAGGAATCATGGTTGCGTGTGTGTGTGTGTGAGTGTGTGTGAGTGTGTGTATTCCTTTAGATTTTCGATGTACATGATCTGAGGGAGAAGTGTTCACGGCCTCCTTTCCTGCCTGAACCACCCCCGCCGCACCCCGGCCTAACTGCTTTGGCTAGAGCCTCCAACACAAAGTCCCATACAGATGGTGAGAATGGGCACCCTTGTCCTGCTCCTGACTTCTGGGGCGGGGGGCTGCTTTCAGTGTTCACCGCTGAGCGCGATGCCAGCTGTGGGTCTGTCACCGGAGCCCTCTGCACACTGGGGGCTGCTTTCCATTTCCAGCTTGTCGAGGGTTTTATCATGAAAGGATTTTGGATTTTGTGAAATGTTTGTTCTGCATCAGATCGTTTTATCTCCTTATGATGCTTTATTTTCTGCTAATAGGGGCATATTACATTGATTTTTATAGGTCAAACCAAATTTTCCTTCCTGGGCTAATTCCCATTTGGTGTGGGCGTAACCCTTGTCCCTGTCGCCAGGCAGCTTGCTGGTATTTTCTGAGATTTTCGCATCTGTATTCATAAGGATATTGGCCAGCAGCTTTCTGGTACTGTGACATCTGTGCTGAGTTTCGGCTTCCGGGTGAAGAGTACTCTGTATTCCATTTAATTCTTGTGATAACAGTTTAAACACATCATAAATTGCCTGTATTTTTTGTGTCTATGAAAAAAATGTTCACGTGTTTTTCCCACTTTCAAGTTTTACCCTGTATAATCTATTTATTGAGAAGGGGGGCGACTTTTTTTTAGTTCCACTAGTAGGCCCTTAACACAAAGCTAGAATGGCTGAGACAGTCTCACGGGCCCCCGTGGCCGTGGATGTTTTCTGTGGCTGGTCCCACATGGCTGCCTCACAGCAAAACCTTTCTTCTCGCTTTAGTCTCCCGCCTCCTGGGCACTGTGCGATCACCACCGGCTTATAGGCCACTTCACACAGCACCTTCTCCACGACCTTGCTCATCAGGAGTCTATTGCTGGAAGGTTTACCATGCATGTATATTACATATTTTTGCTGCAGATTTTTGTGATTTTTATTCCTTCAGAGATTTGAGTCTGTTTCCTACTGCTTTCATTTCACCAGTAGCACATAATATTCAAATTCAATAGATGTTGCTTTAATAATTTTCTTGATTCATCCTTGACATAAGACCCAGGAATTTCAAGATAGATATAAAATCATTGTACTTATAATGCCACTCTCTTTAAGCTCATGAAGCATGAAAAAGTCATTATGAATTTTAAAATATGCAAGCGTTTCCACCCAGGCCACAATTATGTAAACAATTACAGAAACAAATCCAGCCTATATGCTTCACTGAAAACACATTACATCATTTTGCCATATGGCACAGTGAGAACGGGAACCTGGGAAAATAAGTTACGTAATGGCTGTAGTGTTAGAGGGGCACGCAGGGTGCGGTCATGCCCCCGCGGGCCCCTCCGGCCCGGGCTCAGTACCTGGCGTCAGCAGGATGACGGAGGTGACGATCAAGGAGCAGATGACCAAAATCACCAGCAGCGCGATGGCGATTCCTTTCCAGTTTCTCTGCGGAGGGTTACTCCCCACCAGCTCCTGAAACACACAGAGGAGAAGCCCCGTCAGTAAACACAGCCAGAGACACAGGATTCCTTTATGTCAAGCAGCAGAGAAGGGAGGTTCAGCTCATCGTGAAACAAGACACCTCGTCGCCTTCCTGTCCCGGGGCAAAGCCTTCTCCCAAGACAGCGTCTGATGTCTGTTAGTCCCGGCTTTTGTGCCGGCTTGATGCCTCCCCCCACGAAGGAGTTAGGGCAGGGCACCCCATCTCTCCTGACAGCCGCCATCGACCCCAGGGAATCAAAGCTCAGCATGACGGAGACTCCCAGAGCCAAGTCCTCTCTCCCCACCGTCCACCCACTTCTACTCCGGTCACAAGTCAAACATTCACTCAGTGCTGAGGGCTGGTCTAGCAGCCATCCTGTGTGCCAGGCACCATCCCAGGCATCCTCAGCGCCTGGCTCGGGGTGGGACTGCCCGGGTATGTCTTCACGGGGACTCTCCCGTCCTTATTCTAGGGCTCAGTTCCCCAGACACCCACTTCCTCCGTGGCAGGGGCTGGGTGGGGGGTCTGGAACACCGCTAAGGGCCTGGAGGTGCATGAACACAGGACTAATCAGGCAGATGGGCCGCTGAGACCAAGCTCAGTTCCTTTCAAACTAGGGTGAGCATGTATCCTACGCTCCAGATTGGGGTCCCTTTGCGGATAAAGGACGTGATAATGATGACTGATCACAAGCAATAAATATGTTGGGTTATTATCAATTATGCGTGAGTAACTGGACTCGTCCCACTGCTGCCCCCACCCCTGCAAGCCACAGCCCCCCGGCTTTTGTGCCCACCCAGGGCCGCTGTCAGCCCCAAGTCAAGGGAGGGGCCTGAGGGGCCTCGAGTCGGCCGCGACACAGACACCTTGTCGGGCTGCGCGTTGCCCGGCACTATGAGACGCTACAGATCCAAGCCCAGCTCCCCTTGACCTGCAGTGGCCAGTAATTAGCATTTAACATCCAGACACTTCATGTTGGCTCCTTGGCCATCAAATTAAGAAAAATTTCGAGGGTCATTACAGCCTGAGCAGGAAAGAATTCTGTAGTTGTAAATTTCTGCCAGTTTCCTTATTTGCTATGCAGAATCTATCTGTTAAAATGGATTGTTAGGATGAAAAAATGAGACTAAGCAGAAGCTACAATCACGAGAGCGGCACGGGCCCGGCTCGCTGCCCCAGGACAGGCCTCCCGTGTGGGGAGCCAACAGGGCCAGGGAGGGCCCGGCTGACTCCGCAGCCCTTGGCCCCGACCGGTCACCAAGCACGGCCGTCCTCCCTGCGAACAGCGTGGGCTCGCAGTGGGCAGCCCGTCTCACCAATCTCACATCCTGGGGCATTTCTCAGAGGCCGCAGGCATGAGACCCCAGGGTAACCCCAGAAAACAACTGTCTTAATACTCCAGACCAAGTCTTACTCGAGATGCAGAAGGACAAATGCCGCTCCCTTCATCAGCCCACACAGGGCTGGCTTTTGAATCTTGCTTCAAAGAAGAAGACTCTAGAATTCTAATTTTTTAGAAATGCATCTGCTAGATGCCCTGGCCGAAGCTTACATGAGGACAACAAGCCAGACACCTCGGCCTCTGCTCTGCGTGGGCCCTGGCCAGCTGGGCGTCCCGCCCGCGAGGGGGCGGGGTGTGTGCGTGAAGGGAACGTGGGAACAAGGTCCTCTGACACCCCAGGCCCCATCCCGGCCACGCACACCGCATGGCGTCCAGGGATGGACATTGCCAGGGAGAGTGACTTGGGCGTGTGTCCAGGAGGTGAGGCTGAGGGGAGAGCTGGGCTCAGGGCCGGTGCTGGGCGCCTGCGCCGGATGGACCACGGGGAGAGGCTGCTCCGGCGCCAGGAGGAAACTGGCAGCGGCGCGAGCAGGTGCCCGGGAGCCTCGGGATGTCTGCACGAGTCCAGCCTGACGGCCGGGCCAGGGTCCGGGGGCGGGGTCCGGGGGAGGTCTGGGGGGTTCCAGGGCGGGGTCCGGCGCAGCGACCCCCGCAGGAGAGCCGGGCACCCCGAGCCGAGGCCGAGGGCACGCGGGGCCAGCTGTCTCCGCCGGCCGCACCCAGCGCAGAGCCCCCCCCAGCCAGGCTGCAGAACCCCATTTTCACCTGCCCGAGGTTATTTTCCAGAGAGCAGGTGGCTTCCCTGAGGATACAAACAATAACGTGGTAATAACAGGAAGCAGGAAAAAACTGTGAATAATGTCGCCAATGCAAGTAAACAAAGATTTTCATTTTTCTTCACTTCTGGTCCTTCCCACCTGAGCAGCCTTTACAGGGCACCGGGCACCTGGGGGCCCCCGGGGGCACCTGGAGCAGAGCCCCGCGCTCCCTGAGCCTCTTTGGCATCCAGAGCTCCCTCCCGGCCCCTCTTCCCCAGGCGAGAGTGCCTTCCACACCCCTGCAGGGTGGCCCCCACCCAAGCCTACACTGCGCCCCACTCTCGGCTCCCCACTGCAGCCTCCCCCTGCGTGTCCTGTACCCTGCGGCCCTGCTCGCTGTCTCTGTCCCCGACCACCTGTCTTCCCCACAGCAGCCGAGGCCCTTTCGTTGTCCGCTGTCAGCTAAAGCAGCACCTCTGGGTCCGGAGCCCCAGCTCTCCCAGGCGGGGGTCACTCTCCCTTCATCGGGGCGCCCTGTGGGTGCTTTTCTGTAGCCCTCTTACATCATCAAGTACTTAAGGCCTGTCCCCAGCTGTGCCACTTCAGGAGTGTTGTGGAGACACATTTGTGCCCCTGATACCTGGTATAAAGCTGGACACGCGGTCCCCAGGGGACACACAGCCCTCAGGTGACACGCGGTCCCCAGGGGACATGCGGCCCTCGGGGAGAGAGCTGAATGGGCGAGTGACTGTGGGCGCCTCGGGAGAAGCACCTCGCTGTCTGCTGGCACATCTGGCAGGGGGCAAGGGCTGGTTGATGCCAAAAGCAAAGAGTCAGCCCAAGCCCAGCTGCAGCAACATGCCAGAAATAGCCCCGGGCCTGGAGGACGTGATAGGAGCTGACACCCGCCCTGGCAGCCCGGCCCTGTCACCTCGGTGTTGCTCACACTTATTTTTAACTGTGGCAAAAAAGAAAACAAACAAGAACTAAAACCAAACTCAATCTTTCCCTAGGTTGTTCGGCTGTTTTAAATATAAAATCCACCTTGCGGAACGCCGGTGTCTGAGCCACCGTGGCTGCAGCCTCGGGTTCTTGCGCTGGTCGTACAGTTGAAATGGAGAAACAAGGCACCCCGACAGTGAGAGCCCACAGGCTCTGTGAGCTGGTAGGAGCGTGCACCTCTCCCGGCACCTCACCCTGTGCCAGGCGAGGCCTCTGCCCCTCCGAAGCAGGCGACGCAGTCCCGGACGTACACCCCGACGCGCGCAGTCCCGCCTGGACGGGCGCACGGCCACGTGACTGCTTCAGGGAGGTAGACACAGCCCCTGCCCGCAGCCGGGGCCAGGGCGGGCGCGCCGCGGAGGGGAGGTGACTCTGCAGGAAGCCCCAGCCCGCCTGGAGCCGCTCCGCTGGCGAGGGGCAGAGTTGGGGGCTGCAAGGGCAGAGGGTGAGGCGGGGGCAGGGCCATGACAGCAAAGGTCCAGGCTTGGCAGTCACGACGGGGACAGCTGGCAATTTCGCGTTTTATTTCCCTCTGCTAAGCGGAGGGGTCAGCCAGATGGCCGCTCACCGGGCGGAGCCAGGCCGTCCAACCGCGCTCTGGAGCTGCCGCGTCTGAGCCCCGCGCTTGTCGCCGGCAGCTCCCACAGGCCTGTTAGGAACAGAGGGCCGCTGGCGACCCACGCCAAAGCCGCTGTCACGGCACACGGCGGACGCAGCTCCAGAGCCTGCGCCCAGAAGGACTCCAGAGGCCGGGCCAGAATCCGGGCTGGATGGGACCTGAGCTGGTGCTGCCTGGGCCTGCGACAGGGGGCCAGGCACCCCGTCTCTCAGCTGAGGCTGCCGCTGGCCTGCTGTCCGGGTCTCCGTGCCCTCGGGGTCTGGCTGGCAGTGCGGGTCAGGGGTGATGGCTGAGCAGCCGGTTGCAAGGCTGAGGCGGAAGGTGGGGTGCGGGCAGAACTTAGCCTTCAAACAACTTCCCTTGATTTCATTAATTTATTAAATTTGGGTGACAGAGCCTACTTCCGGGGAGTGGCAGTTAATGATAAATCTTTACTAGATGAGGCGTGATGCCCCCAGAACCCCCCAATCCTCCCCCCATGGCCCCTTCCTCATGTTTGCTGCACAGCCCCCCCCGGGCCGGCTCTCGCCAGCTACCTGCCCTCCACCTGTGGACTGAGCTGGGGCCACGCGCCTCTTCTGCTAAGAATTCGGGGACTTCTGAAGTTGGCTATGTAAGTACCGTGACCCCCCATCACTGCCTGGGGGCAGCCCCGAGCCTCGCCCACCACCAGCCCTTTCAGGGCCGCGGGAGCTGCCTGCAGAGAGCCCCCGCGCCGCCGTTCCCCTTAAAAACATTTTAAAAACCCAGGCAAATTACTGACCATATTTATATATTTAAAAAAATTTATTACTTTTCCCCTGCAGACAGCAGCACTCAGATTATCTTAGGCTCCGCGGCCTCATTTCGCGGCCGACAGCGGCTTTCAGAAGACGAAGCCGACGGGCGGACCCTCCTGCTCTCGGAGCTCGGCCTCCCGGGGTCCACTCGAGCCTCCGGCCGCCAGAGGCCACCGCACGTGGCCTGGTCCCGGGAGCGGCGTCAGCCTCCGGCCGGTGCCCAGCAGCCCCTCCGCGGGTGGCGGCGCCGGCGAGCTGGGGGCCGAGTGAGCGCCCGCGGCTGCCCGCTGCGCGACCGGCGCCTTCCGGCCCTGCTGGCCGGTGACAGGCCTGGCGCAGGCCCCGGGCCCGCGGGCGCTCTCGAGACTGGCAGTTTTCTGGCACGCTCGGCTCATCACTTCCCAATGTCAAAGCCCCCGCAGGCGCTTAATAAATATGAAGTCGCTGACGCGTCTCAGAGGCAAGAACTACCCGCAATTTAATAAGAGAC